CTACCCATCAAAAGCTATTTTCTCCCGTGCCAGAAAGGCCTGAACATAACCATTACAGAAACAAGGGGTTTATTTTGCAATTTGAAAGCAAATAACTACAGCAACAATAAATGCAGTTAGAAATACTGCAAATACAATTTTCAGCAGAATTTCTGAAACTCGGGTAAACTTCTGTATAGCTCACTGTGACATGGCACTATTACACACTTAAAAAAAAAATTAACGACTTAACCACCTTGCAATAAGTGCTAATGAATGATTCTTCACTTCCTGCATAGGAACAAGTGAGACTATGCAGCAAAGAAAGGCCTGAAGCACTTTTTAATCTGGTCACATGGATCCATGAAACACACCTATTAGTACCACATGTCCTCAGGATTGTATTTCAAATTTACTGTTCTGCCTTCATAAATGTCACTCATACAACTTGCGTGCCACTGCCAAGTCAATCTTGGAAGTTCTTCACTTTTAAGATTTTAAAAGATAGACAAAATAAAGACTAGAATTAAAACTAGTATTTTTAAATCAGCATACGTCTGAAAGGTTGACAAAGCCTTCATTTTACATGAGATTTAAAAAACTCAGACTAGAGCCTGGAATTTTCATGTCTAAACCTCTTATCTTTCAATGCTTTAGTTCCACACTGTCATTTCACTCAGCAAAATGAAAAAACATCCTAATCTGAAGCACAGAAAAGTTTACTACTGAAAAACTTATCTGAAATGTGTTTTCCAAACTGCTTATCTATTAAATAGGAACAGAATAATAACATTCCTAGAAGTATTTTGCAAGTCTTATGTGGTTAAGAACACAATTTGTCATTGAGTATTACTGAGTACTCCTTGAGTCAGGGCCTCACAATAACTGACTCAATGGTGAATAACAAAAAACATTTGTTTTTTGTTACTCAAAAAGGTTACCCCTCTCCAAAAAAAAACCCCAAAAAGGAAGAAAAAAAGAAGAAAATAAAGCCTTACAAGTTCCATGAAAACTGCCTGTGAGATGAACGTTATTTAGGGCTAAGCCTAAGGGAAAGATTGCTACATAGGTGCAAAGACAACCTGTTACACTTGGCCTAGGAGCACATCAATCAGCACTCCCAGCTCACGCAGCAGAACAGCTGATCCTGCAGCTTAAACGCACCTTTTGCATGCTCCTTGCTCAGCCAGGAGGAGGAGGGAGCAAAGGATAAACTGCTAAGAGGGGTAAAGATAATGTAAGAGTAGTAAACCAGGGGTAACTTCTAGGTGACAGTAGAAAAAAAAAAGCTCTTCATGCAGATTTACTACTCGAATTTCGAATTTCTGCTCAACAACTTCAAACTGCAAGACCTACCACTGTTTTCTAAATCAAACAAAATCTGATGATGAAACTATTTCAGATTTAAATGTATTTCCATAATAAGTGTTCCAGTAAACAATATTTAAATTATTTCAGTAAACTGTTTCTAAGAAAATATCATAATTCAGCAATAACAACAGCAGGGAGCTGCAGATGCATCTCCACTACACTCAGCTCAGCTGGTTTATACCCAAATCCATGCATTTGCTTAGGTCCAGCTTCAGTGTTCATAGTTAACTGAACCATTATTTTTTCTTTTCAAGTCCTGTCAAATGTTTCTCAGCATTGCAGCAAGACTAGCAGCTCCAGAGGACTCTCGAGGAGCACATCCATCCTTTCAGCACAGGTCTCAAGTTGGGGAAAGGCACAAGAAAATGAGCAGCATTCACATGCTGATAATAGTCTTTGTTCCAACTGTAAATCCAGAGGATCACTAGGCTTGAATGCAGACTATTATTACTCAGCCAGCTGATCTGAGCTTGCTCACAAAAGTCACAGACAAACTCCTGCACATCAGTGGGAACTTAGCACAATTCCCAGGGAAGAAATGGAACTACTACAGATCAACGAGATACCTGCCAGTCCTAGAGTTACTGCACTGAACCCTCCTGCTGAGCTGAAAATGCCACCTTGGTTATTTATCCTAGGTGTCAGTCTGGGCTTTGCTTTTTCCTTTCTGGCTTTTTTTGGGATGAAGATAAGCATGTTGTAGCAAAGTACAACGCCTATCTGCAGGCATGGAAATGGATTAAAATTCACCCTAAATTTCAGGGCATCAGTAGTCACCTCTATATTTATTTCTTTTGTTATTATAAATACTGACCAATTTCCTACAAGTTATTTCTTTCTGTCAGCAGATACTCTCAAAATACAAGAAAATGTTAAAAATAGAAGATGTTGAACAGTAGCTCTATTTTGACCATATGCAAGATTTTCCTCTTCATCTGCTTCATTTCTATCTGATATCACTAAGGGAAAAATCAGAGATAACATAACGTGGAGACCGATAAAGAATATGCACAGGGAAATGGGAATTTGATCACTCACGGAATTCAGGCCCTCTTACCACGCCCTTTAATTCATTCAAATTTTCTAAAGAGGAAGCAAGAAAAAAAATCCCAAGCCCAGGGGCATGATCTGAATGTTACCAAACCTGCTGACAGCAGGAGAGTCTTTACCCACTACACTCTCCTACTAGCTTCCTCTAGCTAAAGCCAGGGTCTGAAAAGTCAAGCCTGTTAGTTCCATCTCTTCCCTTTTCTCTCCACTCCCTCCCCAGGGAATCTTACTTTACAACACACCCAGAGTCAGACACCGAGTTCCTCAGGACTTCGGAGACACAGCGAGTCAGCAAAGGTCATGAAGTACTGTACAATAAATTACTCCATATAAAACAACACTTAATAGACAAAATATCGTTCTCTAGTCACAGAACTTACATTTTAATTCAGAGGTGACCAAATCAACGAATGATTTATTCTTTCAGGATTTCAATATATTAAGTCTAAACTGTTTCCAGTTCTTCCTTAGTATTTCACTATTCCAATTTACACACTCTAACTCTTCAGCACATCCCAACCTTTTGCAACACTCTGCTTGTCTGTGTGATCATCTGAAAGGCACAGGATTATGCTGTGGCTGCCTTCCAAGCAGCAGCAATCATTGGATCACAATGTCAAGCCAGCGACTTGCTGGACTACATGTGACAAAAATAATAAAGCATTCTAACACACTGCAGCAAGGAGTGCACACCAAATGAAATTTTCCAACTCCAGGAATAACAAATGGCACTCTTGGTAGCATTGCTCTTCTCCCACCAACTCAACAAGCAGGCCTTGGAATTACAGTACAACATGCACTCTCAACGCCTCAAATTTTCATCCTGGCAGGTCAAGAGAAAACTTTGCAAAGATTAAAAAGAAGGCACAGTCCTTATTTAAACCACTAAACACAAAGAGTCCCACTCGTGGTGTAAAGGGAAGGAGCAAGGACCCACACACGTGGATTTAACCACTTAGAGCAAGAGGACCACGAGAACAATGACAGAGAAAGAAAGTAGCAACCAGCTCTGGAGGGCACAGGGCAAGGCACAATGACGCTACTTCCAGAAAACCCCTGCAAGTTATTTCTGTTATTTCCTCAACCCCGACGCGGACTTGGATAATATCAGGATTAGATGTAGACTTTCACTCTATGAAAAACAAGAAACTGTTATCTTAAAGCTCCTTTATGTACCTGGTGTTTTTCCAGAAGTCTACTCCCATACTTAGTCAATTGCATGTAAAATCTCAGCTTTTGAAACAAACAGAAAACAAACAAAACCTACAAAGAAACCCCAACATCCACACCCCCTTTCCACTCGCTTAAGTTTAGAGGAAAGAAAACGTGATTTCTAGGAGTCTCAAAAGTCTGATGGAAACCAAAGACCTGAATTTTTTTCTGTCTTCTTAAGACTTTTAGGCCAACTACATGGTTTTGGGGAACTGACTCACGAGGGGTTTGCTGGGCTGGTTTCAATCTTCGAGGTTAGGTCTAGTCATGCCCCCCTTTTCATTCTGAAATATAGGTACTTGTACAGTTACAAAGATTTTGGTCTAACATATATTCAAAGTACATTTCTGGACCAAACCACATAATTCTCCACGCTTAATAGTGAAACTATCTTAAGAAAATACAAATAAAATTCTAATTGTTACTTAACTGTAACTCTAGCAGGGAAGTCTGATACTTTTTCTGCTAAACGTATAGAAAAATTGTACAAGTTTCTTAAACTGTTTGAAAGGACTAATTAGCAAGGGGCACACACCACTTCCACACTGTTTTTACGTCCTTTTTCCATCCTATTTTCAGTTTTTCAAGTAAATTGTTGCATACAACATCCAGGAGAGCTACTACATAAGCCATGTTCTTTGAAATGCTCGAATCAGTAGGCTGAAACAGACCTGAATGGTCGAATTCAACCATGTGTGAGAATTCAGTTGTGCCTTTTCACCAGAACCAGGCTCGAATCTTGGTAAAATGAAATGTGCAGCTTTAACGTACAAAAGCTCAAGAACTCATCCTTACAGATTCTGAAATTCACAATTACAGAACTCATTCAAAGATGACTCTCAGCCTCACTCCACACCGTGCATGAGTATTACTTGTACACACGTAATGCAGGAAAGGCTGGTCTCATTTTTATTTCAGCAAACTCGATTTTTTTTTCCCCCGCTCGTATTTTAAGAGGCTTTCACTCGGTTTTCTCCCTCTAGAGCAGAGACGCTGTTGCGGGCGCAGGTAAAACCGCATCCAGAGATGCATTTCCCATCCCGAAGCTTCAGTACACCCCACCTGCGCTTTGCCGCAAGACACAGCCCTGCAGAACCCCGAAAACACCATCTGAGAAAAATCCGCAGCTTCCGAGGAAAGAGGCCCCGGAGGAGGAGGAGGCGGCAGCGCCCGGCGGGGCCGCTCGGGGCTCTCACGGATCGGGGAGCGCCCCCTCCTCCGCGGCCAGGGCCGGGCAGCCGGGGGCCCGAGCAGCAGGGGCTGGGGCCCGGCACAAGTTGGCCGGAGAAACCTGTGGCTGCCGTGACAGCCCCGCGGCCGGGAACGGGGCGGCGGCCGGGCAGCGGGGGCTGCCGAGGTGGGGACCTCGGGACGCGCCGGACACTGACCTGTCCTCCGAGTCCATGCGGCTCAGGGGCTCCCCGTCCGAGGACATCTCCAGGCTGCCCCGCCGACCGCCCGACGTGGCGCTGCCGCAGCTGCTGCCGCCGCCCGTGCCGGGGCCGGTGCCGTATCCCTCGTCGCCGCCGCTGGACACGCTGCTGGAGCTGCTGCCGCCCCCGCCGCCGCCGCGGCCCGGCCCGTCCTCCTGGCTGCCCCGGGGGCCCTTGGGCTCCTCCTTGGCGTCGGCCTCGCTGCCGCCGCCGGGGCTCGGCGAGCGGGTCTCGTCGCTGCAGCAGCCGCTGCTCGTGCTGCTGCTGCTGCTGCCCACCAGGCTGCTCTCCTCCTCCTCGCCGCCCTCCTCCTCCTCCTCCTCCTCTTCCTCCTCCTCGTCCTCGTCCTCCCCGTCCCCGGCCTGGCTGGCGCTCTCCGGGCTCGGCTCCGACATGCTCTCCGCCTCGCCGTTCAGCAGCAGCAGCGGCTCCGGCTCCGCCGCGGCCGAGGACGAAGGCGGCGGCGGCGGCGGCGACGACGAGGAGGATCCGGCCCCACCGGCGGCGGCCGCTACCTCCGCCGCCACCTCCGCCTCCTCCTCCTCCTCGGCGGGCGCCGCCTGCCCGGGAAGGCGCCGCTGGGGCTCCGCCATGTCGCTGCAGCGAGCGGCCGCCATGGCGCCTGCGAGTCGCTGCCGCGCGCGCGGGGCCGGCCGCGGGCGTGCGCACGGCGGGGGCGTGCGCGCGCGGCCCCGTGCGCGCCCGCGCGGCCGGTGCGCGCTCCCGCCGCCGCCCGTGCCCCCCCCTCCTTCCTTCGCCCTCCTCGCGCACCCGCACCGCCGGGGAGGGGCGGGGCGGGGCCCGGCTCGTGCCGCCGCCGCCGCACGCGCTACGGAGCGCGCCGGGGGACAAACAACGCGGGGAGGGCGGAGCGAAGGGCGGTGGCGGACGAGGGACGTGATCCCGGGTGGCTTCTGCCGGGGATCCCACCGTGAATCCCCCAGGGATCCCGGCTGGAATTCCCCGGGAATCCCGGTTCGAATCCCCCGGGCCCCTGGAATGGCCTGATGCCAGCCCCCGGCTCCATGGACAGCGGCGAGTGCCGCGAGACGCGCCGGGAGCCGGGAACGAAGCGCCCCGCCTCGCTCCAGGACAAATCCCGGCGGCACCAGTGTCCCACAGCGGGGCAGGGACATTCCCGAGTGGGGCTGGAGAAGGAGCGCAGCCGGAGCAGAGTGGCCCCCGTGGAGGGTGGGGCAGGCAGGGCTCCGGTTGTACCGGGCACGGCGGGTTCCCTCACGGGCATGGGGGTTCCCTCATGGGCACGGCGGTGGGGAAGCGGGACAGGGATCGCACGGAACGGGAGAATCGAGGCTCCTCGGGAAGAGCTGCAGGAGCTGAGGAGCCAGCCGGGCAGGAGTGCCGCAGGCTTGGCCGAGGCAGGAAGGAGACGGGGAAAGGGTTCCAGCGCCGCTGGAAAAGGAGTGAAAAACACCGCGCTGTGCAGGGAGGAGAGAGAATGAACCAGAGCAAACTGGCCTGAAACCTCTCTTGGCAGGGAAGAGGCTTCCCGGCTGCCGGGGAAAAGCTGTGTGACCAAAGGGCGCTGTGAAATATCACAGGATGGTTTGGATTGGAAGGAACCTTAAAGATCATCTCATTCCAAACCCTTGCCCTGGGCAGGGACACCTTCCACCAGACCAGGTTGCTCAGAGCTCTATCCAGCCTGGCCTTGGACACTCCCAGGGATCCAGGGGCAGCCACAGCTTCTCTGGGCACCCCGTGCCATGGCATCACCACCCTCACGGAAGAATTTCTCCCTAATACCCAATCTAAACCTATGGATGTATTAAAGGGGAGAGGTGAAATCTCAGCAGGATAACTGTCAATCACGTAGAAGCCTTCAGAGCAGAGTTTGAAAATTAAGGTCATTTAATGAGCATGTAAAATATGATAAAGTTTACAGTAAAGTACACAGGATGGGGATTGGCAGTAGAACAGAAAGGTAGAATCTGAATACAGAGATAAAATCAGGTAGTTTGATAAGTTATTGGAGAGATGAGAAGGGTAATGAAAGCTATTCAATCAAAGGTAAATAAACCAAAGGTAATAAAATGCTGTTCTTTGTGAATTTTAAATATCCTACATCTGTCAGTCTTTAGCCAAGTAGTGGCAAGCTTACAGTCTTCTGCTTACAGAGCTTGCCACATTTAACACAAAAATCATGAAGTCGTTGTAGTGAAATTTAAAAACAAACACAGTACCACAGCTCAGTCCAGAAAACCTCGTGCCTTCTGCACATGAGGAAGAACCTCACTAACTCAAGTTACAGCAGGCAGATCTGGCATGTCCACAGAGATCCTGGATTCCAGAAGCTAACTGCGTAGGATTAAAATCTGGAGAAGGTGCTCCGAAGACCTGCATTTGCATAGCTGGTGATGGCTCCCAGCCCATCAACAGATGTAGCTGTGAGCAGCAACAAGAACAAGCTGTGGTGTAGCAGCCAAAATAGAGAGCCACAGCACTGAAACAGCAACAGGGGGTCGGGGACTCAACACTGGATTAGTCTTTGAAAACAAACCAATAACATATTTAGCCCGCGGAGGAGCATAAGCAAATTTTGGAAACCAACAGCAATGAAAAAGTGATGATAATTCCTCAGATTTCTAGAAGCCAGCCTCGGCTAGAAAGTGGAAATGTTAAGAATGCTTTAAAAAAAATCCGGAGGGGGGGGGGGGGGGAAAGACAAGAACAGCTGCAATGCTGTTTCTCATGTGTGCAAGATGTGCATTGCAGGTCTCCTAACTTCACCAAAACAGTCACCAAACCCTGATTTTCTGCTCCCTGTTCTGCCTTTCCTCCTGCTAACAGTGTGTGCTGTGCTTTGCTCCCCGCGGAGGAAGGCGTGGGGCTCCGGGGGCGTGTTGCAGTCACTGGTCTAATCAAACACCAAGTGTGACGTTCCAAAAACACCCCAGCCTTTGATTCAGCCCAGAAACGGCGGTAGCTGAAGTAATTCCTATTATTCCTGGTCTCTACTACCCACTGATGCCCTTCTGCAGTTCTGTGCTGCAGCAAGGGACAGAATCAGGGAGGTATCGGGTCATGAGAAACCAAAAATACATGAACGGCTGCGGTAAAAATCACCTTTCACAAACGATGAGATAAAGGGGAGAAAAGTCACCACGAAGAACTCTGTACCCCGATGTCAGTTGTCCTGATCGCTGTGTGCTCAAATGTCTTTTTTTGCCCAGGTCTCTCTGGGTTTCTCGAGGTGCTGTGTGCACGCAAAGGCTCCTTGTGTTTGGCACTGAAAGTGAGCAGGGTGATTCGACCTCCCACTTTCCGCTCTCCTAAGCAGGGCGGTAGAGACGCCAGCTCGTTAGGTAATCTGTGTATTCAGAGAGGGTCAGGGAAGGAAACCTCGGGACTTTTCTGTTGCCTGATGGAAATCACTTGGCATTTAAGCAAGCGCTCAGTACCGGTGGGGTCACTGCTGCAGCAGGCAGGCATCAAAGAGAAACTCCGTGGTAATCTCTCGGTGTCCTGCTCTCAGGTTTTCAAACACACAAAATTCCGCGTCCAGGCTCGGCCCTTGAGTGCTGTAATAAGGTCCTAATCGAGTGCAAGCTGCAGTGATTATTGCTCACTGAGCTTTCTCTGTACAAACCTACGCAGCTTACCGAAGCTGGATTTCCTTTTTTCCCAAGTTTTTTTGACTTTTCAAACCTCTTGAAAGAGATCTGTCAGAGAACAGGTGATTCCACAACTTGCAAAAGCATCTAAACCATTTACATGTGAATGCTGTGATAAAAGCTCAAAGGAGGAGACTCCTGTTAGGAAATCCTTTGGAGAAAAACCACATCGTTCACTTGGGTGGATGTTACTCTGTCGTTCACACAAAGGGTTTCGGATGTGCTCAGTCTAGCTTGGTAGAATCACTTTACAACGATGATTCAAAGCTCAGACATTTGTGTTGAGGAATCAACAAAGCACAAAATAATAAATAGATTTTAAAAAGCCGGTAGATAAACCAGGAGAAGCCTGTTCACAGGCAAAAGACTCCAAGCAGGACCATTAGTTCAAGAACAAACAACTTGTAGACACAGCAGAGCAGGGAGAAGAAATGAAGATTTTATTTTCTTACCTCAGGAACACCAGGGTGCAGGGCATTCACACTGACAGCAGGAAGCAGTAACAAGCACACTCCAGAGAAGTAGTTCCTCCTTTTCTTGATTCACAGCAATTTTGCTGTTTTGTGGGGTTTTCTTGAAGGACACTTAGATGAGATCACCAGAAGATGTATGTAAGGCAGGTTTCTTGAGGTTTTTTCCCTAACTTTGATCAGCATTATAGTACTATTCTATAGAGTGTACAAGCAAAACACTTCCATACAGCAAGAAAGGCCTATAAAGAGAGAAGAAAAATTAAATAGGCCTGAGGTACAGGAAAGGTGACATCCAGTCTTACACTTGCCAGGATACCAAGAGAGATTCTGTAAAGCCCAGCATCTGCTTCCTGAGCTCCCTTCTCCAACCCCTGCCTCCCCATGCACCTCTTAAGCAGCGCAGGAAATTCCTGCTGCCTGCACCTCATGACTCACCTTGCTCAGCATTCTGCCGACTCAGCAGCCTCTGGAAACTGCACCCTTCCCTTCTTTCTGCCCCACCCTTCCCCATCCCAATTCGAGGGCTGGAGGAAGAGGCTGCCATCTGTCATTGCTTCAAGTGAGCAGCGCTGGGTTCTCACCCTTCCCTTCAGACTGGGCTGAAATTGCCTCGTAATGCAATTCTGACCCCACCCTCTCCTACAGCACCCAGTTAATTCTCCCTTTAAACTCAGCTTCCATGCTCTTTTCTTTTTTAAAGCTGCCTTTAATCTTTGTGCTGTCTGCTTAGAAACCATGACTGTGAGAAACTACAAGCCATGCTTAGACTGGGCCAACCAGAAGAAGGCTGCAGGGAATGCATGTTGGGAAAGGGTCCCTCTTCCCTCCCTAGGAGTGTTGAGCCTTCTCTGGGATTGTAACTGGCTTTGAAAAACATTTTGCAGCAAAATGAATTCTTGATACTGTTTGGGACCTTCTTCCTCCTCTGCCCTGCCCCTGCTTTGTGTCACGCTGATCTGCTGCCTCTTCTCTGGTGCCAGCACAGCTGTCCCTGAAATTCCTGCCATGATCTAGACCAGGGAACTGCTTTTAGTGGTAACTAGAAGGAAAAAAATAAAATGGCATTCTGTTCCTGTTACGTCATGAAGCTTCAGAAAACTCCATACAGCTCAGTCAAATGTAACTCTCTGGGGATGGGGAAAAGAGGAACAAAAAAAGTTAAAAACTTGCTAAGGTGACATAAAGAACCAGGGGTTACTTCAGGAATGGAAAACCCCATTCTGTCATTCTGGAGCTCATCCAAAAGCTCATCCTAACATTAATTCTATTTGCACTTGTGGTAAACTCCAGCCAGCCCAGTGGAGATGAGGGCATCTCTGCTTTAAGCCATCAATAAACACGAACAGTGAGAGGAAGGCCATGTTCCACAGATATCCTGATGTATTTGAAAGAAATCAGATACCTTACAAGTAGATGAAACCTCTAAAATGCACACTAATTGATGCTCAATTTGTTGTCAAATTATGTTGAAGGAAAACAGGGAATGCAAAATAATACAGCCTGAAAATTTCTTGTAAGTGAAAGATTAAAAAGCTATGAGTTCAAGGCA